GTGGAGGATACACATGCACTGAGGAAAATGGATGAGGAGATTTGCACGCCTTGGCCAATTAAGCACTACCCCTTTTCTTAAAAATGAAATTAAAATGTTTTTCTGTGTTTTTTCCTATCCCTCCTTCCCCCTTCCCCAGCAAGATGAATTCTAGGGACAGTGCTGAGGACTGCCTAGCCAGAAAGATGCTATACCAGCAATGGGACAGAGTGTCTAGTCCCAAAAGATATTATTAAAGATTAAAGGAAACTCCAAACTTAAATTTTAAACAGCTCTGAGCTCCTTGCAGAGACTGCTACTAATTAGAGCATCAAGTTATGTGGCAGTTATTCTAAAGTAATCACTGCCAACAAAGAGCTGCATTAATAATAATCTTTTATTTTATGTATAGGCTGTTAAGAAGTAATGTCTTTCTGTAATGATTTTAGCTTAGCTTGTACTGTTGAACTAGGGATAACCAAGATGGAAGAGCAATGAAGAGGTCATTGTCCTCCTAAACTATTCAAAACACTTCTCAGCAAGACTGGGAAGGTGATGAACGGCCACAGTCAGGAAGCAGACACATGTACTACAAATTTCCCTGCTCTTCTGAGTCATTAATTCATTCATATCTTAATCAGGCCTGGGAAAGAAGGGAAGAGAGATATTTTTTATTTTGTAATAGAGTTTTATTTTGTGTGTTGTCTGAGTTATCTCCTGTTCCTCAGCTTTCTGACTCTGGGTTGGCTGGGACTTCAGAGCTCATACATTACAAAATGTGAGCTAATCCTAGAAGTAGCAAGAGTTTTTAAAGTAGGTTTCTTCGAGGTTGCCTTTGGAGTTTTGGACCTCTGATTTTTCCAAATTTTCTGAGAAATCAGGAGAGTTCATGATAACTTCTTCATGATAATTCAGACTATTCATTTGGAATATTTATGGAAAGGTGAACTATAATGAGAATCGGTGTCTACCGCGTTAAAAATCCAGTCTTGGATTTCCATAGGACACCACTGGGAACATTTCATATACAGACAATGGGTTCACTGAAATAGCCAAGAGAGAAGCAGCCCTTTTATCTCTTTAACAGGACCATGTCTTCAGTGAAGAGAAAAATCATCTTCTGATAGATAAATACTTCCTCTCCCTCTGACAGGGTATGTTTAGGATTGGAAATTCTATTCTTGGTTATGCAAGAAAATCTGCGACCTCTCATTTTTTGACTTTAACTAAGGTGAGTGAGTGTGTTTTCTGAATTTTTGATTGTCAGACATCTCTCTTATATCAGAATCTGTTTGTACCTGAGGTCATTCTGGAGATCATCATTCACAGAGGAATTGAGTGTCTAGCTTTCTCTTCATGAAGAGGGTGAACAGGAAGCAAAGCTGCAGATTCCTGGGTCTTGCTGGTCATCCTGACACCCCTGTGTGTTATGGGAGTACGCTGTGAAAACAGTCTGCTTCTAAAGATCAATGAAGGCCAGATGTGAGGAGGGCATTACCATCTAAAATTATGCCTCCCACAAGAAGACAAGCAGTGTAGAAAGAGAACATTTTTGCACGAATATCCTTTCATTCTGGGTAAAGGGTCACAGCTAGTTAGGAAGGCTCTTCTGTTTGGACCGCCAGCTGGGGAAACTGGCTCTGCAAGAAGCTTCATCACAGTGGGCAGGAAAGGAAGTGGAGAGGTTGGAAATAAACTAGGCTGGAAAAAGAATGAGGAGGAGACTTTTCCTGCAGTCCATCTTCCCCGTGATGGTTTTCACAAGGGGGCAGATGACTACGTTTTGTGTAGTCAGATTTTTTTATTCCTTGCAGTGGATGTTTAGGGTCATTTTGCCTGTATCAGAGAAATCATTTAATTATTTTCTAATAGTTCTTCAAGAGTATTTCTTCAGAGAAGAGAAATGTGATTCTGAAAGGATTTGTGTCAGATGCAGAAGAGATTTGAAGTACTGGAATGGTGGTTAGCGACTACATTGTCTGAATTATTGATTGCTCCTTAGCACTCTAGCCCAGTATATGGAAAGTGGACCTGCTGTCAAATTCTTTCATATTCTACAAAACGCTCAGCATAGCCAGGTTGTGTGTTGAGGGCTCCTGATGAAGCAAACAAACTAGGCCTAATTTGGGCCAAATACCTTATTAGCCCAAAATATTCAAAGCTTATATTTCTGGAAACACCATCCACCATTAGTCTTTTCTGGTAAGTGGAACATCCGAAGGTTTTTGAAGCATGCCTAGTATTTCCTTACATGACTGAGGTTTTCTATTCCTTTGGGATCTGCAGCTAAGCAACCATCTCTCTCGTTCACTTAATTCCCAATCTGTTATCAAATAAAATGTTAATCAGTAAGAGAAAGGAAGTGACTGATAAAAACACTTGGTTCTTCCCATTGGTCCTCTTGGATTTTCCACCCCATAAAGAAACATAAGTCTTAAAATGAATTTAGCTACCAGTAAAAGCAAAGGGAGACAGCTGATGAAAAACTGGCACCCATGTGAGAGTTCAAAAGCCAAATGTTTGGAAGCAGAGTATTTTTATGTTGGACAAGAAACTAATGGCAGACTTGGACATAAATTTCTACTTCTGTTGGATGTTGGCTTATGTCAGGGTATTTCTTTATCTTTCTTATTTCCCCCTTGCGTTTCTGCAATTTTTTGTTTTGGGGTTGCTATGATCCAAAGAAAAAAAACTATGATAGAGAAAGTTGATCAGAATCATTGCTGTGATTAGATGATAACACTTCCATATGTGACTTCTTTAAAAAAAATTAGAATTCCCACACAGATTAATTCCACTTGATCATTTGGTTACCGTTCTCAAATATTTTTGGTGAATAATCTTCAGGCAATGGATTGTTTGTGAAATATTCATTTAATCTCCATGCTCTTGCTATTTTTGTTGTGTGATCACTCGTTGAACGTTGCCAGTAGTTGCCTGAAAATACGTTTGTATGATGTTTTGTATCTTGTATCTCCATCCTGAGCTACTTCTGCAGCTAAATGCAGTTCAGAAATGGTGGTTCTTACCATGCTTAAATGCATGATGAAGAGTTTGTTCATTGCACTGTGATAGCTTCTGATCAGGATTTGATTTCTTCTCTGTGAAGTCAAGTAAAATAAAATAAGAAAGACGACAAATGGGTAGAACAGCAAAACTGCTTGCCCTGAAGCCTTTGCAAAGGCGAGTCTTTTTCAATTAGTGCCAAAATGTGGAGCCACAGCTCTAATATAATTGAATAAAAGCAGAGAAACAAAGGCCAAAGCCCCCAGGCTCTCCCCTTTCTATACCTGACCACGTAAAATAGAAGAAAGAAGCAGTAACAAAGTCTTTCTTACCCTAGATTTTTTTCTTGCCAAACTGTGTTTCTTAAAAAAATAAAAATAACAAAATTAGAGCATTTTATTTTAGAAGACAAAATCTGTACATGAGAGATCCTGAATTGCAGAGTAGCACGCATGTGAACTGAACTCTGTAAAGTCCAAACATGATGGGTTCTGAAATTCTGTTTCGGTTAAGTCATCATTCAAGTATAATGTTTGGATTCATGCTTCTGGGTGATACAGAATTGAATCTTGAATTTTAGTTTAGATCAGATGTATTTTCTGCCTAAATTAAGATGGTAGTATTTTGCATACCTCAAAAGAATGTTATGTGAATAGGTGTATTAACAGTAGTTTTTGAACATGAGGATCATGGAAGTCATGAAGAGTTTGACAGACACCTATCTATAAAGCAGGTTTCTTGTGAGGAAATACAGATCTTCTTTTACTCTTCATTCTTGTGTAAACATCATGCAGTGGGATGCAGCTCAGTCTTCAAATGTGATCTGTGTTTTGTTGTGACTCTGAGTGGCCACATCTTGATTCTCCTCAGAAGACGGCCCCTTTCCCACAAAGGGCCACCACTCCCTGGAGGAACTGGGCCCCTGTTCAATGAAAGCTGGCTCTGGAATCCAGGAGGTTTGTGTTTTCATTTTTGGAGTGTTGTGGGGTGGGTTTTTTTTTTTTACATAATTAGGTGGCTGTTGGCCCTGGTGTCAAAATAATATTATATTACTGATTTTGGTAAAACTGTCACATAGTGAAAGGACACAATTTGCTTGAAAAGCAGCATTGTAACTTTCTTGAGTCACAAAGTGGAAAATAAATTAACAGCAGGACTTGCACAGTCCGCATGAACTGCTGAGGACTTACTCTTGTTTAATTAATATTAATTTACTATTTATAAAGTGATAACGAGATTCTTGGGGCTTTTGTTACATCTGCTTTTAATTTTAGAGGCATTTTAATCAGTTTGCTGCATGACATTATTTGTCAACACCAGGTGAATAGGACCTCTAATATGACCCACTGTGTTGAGACCAGTTAACAGGCTAGACTGGGAAATAATATGCAAACTTGTTTCTCCTCTCTTATCATAAGAGATCAGTTCCCAAAGTGACATAGATATTGGTGTAGGTGATACCTTTAACCATGACATCACTTTAAACCCCTGGGCAGCACTTACACCCTTGGGAGTGTATTGCTGCTGAAGGGAGCCACTTGAGCTGAAAGTCTGAGACTTCCTCTACATTGAATTTCCTTCTGCTCAGGGGAGCAAAGCTGATGGGTTCAATCAAGAATCCCTTATTTCTACCGGCTTGCAGTCAGGAGCACTGAAGTGGCTTTATTTTCCTCCTGGCCTTTTCATTTTTTTTTCCTTATCCTTGTCTGTTCCTCCCCCTTCCTTTCACTTGACACCTGTCCCTACCTTTGGAGGATGAGATAAGCAGAGAACTCTGTCCCTGTAAGAGACAAGGAGCAGAATATGCCTGTACGAAGAGGGCCGGAGCAAGAACCAGACCTCTCCTGGGCAGGCAGGAGTGGGAGAGCTCCTTTGCTGCGGATTGCTTTCTGGAGTGGTGTCAGGGGGGTTTTGTCACTGTAGTGAGTATAATTGGAAGCAGGTTTCTCTCTCTCTCTCTCTCTTTTTTTTTTTTTTTTTTTTTTTTTTTATTTTTATTTTATTTTGAAGTCGTCATGCTGCAGCAAATTTTGCGTGATATGTATATTGACCCTGAGCTCCTGGCAGAGCTGAATGAAGAGCAAAAGCAGATCTTGTTCTACAAAATGAGAGAAGAGCAGCTGAGGCGCTGGAAGGAGAGGGAAGAAAAAGCACGAATGGAGGAGGCCGTGCTGAGAAAGACAGCGAGGCGCAAACAGAGTAAGATTTGTGACCTCCTTCTATACTTAACAGCTGGGGATGGTAGGCATGCAACTGCCTATGGTGCAGCATGCATCTGAAAGAGATTACAAGGAAGGGTGCCAGCTGTCCCCTTAGGCAAAAAGACTGCCAGGGGCAGCAAAAGCACCATGTTCCTGCTTATTGTCTCTCAAGGCTGCTTCTTTCTCCAGGGGGATAGTTTAGTGTGGGAGTAAGGAGAGCAGTTTTGAAGTGCCTCTTTCAGTCTGGAGTCTGCTCTTATTCTCTCAGTGGTAACAGATGTACCATGTCCAAGTTTCCCCTCCATTCCTGAGGCTTTTTTCTTCACTTACCATCCCCACCCCTACCCATCAGTCAGACAAAAGGCAGTCTTGCCTGTGCTGTTGACATTTCTTGACATTAAATGTTTCCAAGTGGTTGGAGTAGGAGACAAATTCATGAACTTGAGCTTGTTATGATGGGCTGTTTGTGAATAAGTTGTGATGTCAGAACAGCCGTTCCATGAGACGAAATTTCCACTGTGCTAGTAAACACTCTCCAAAAGATTATGTCTAGGTAATCCTGTGGTAGTGGGGCGAGCACATAAAAACAAACCAAAACAACTAAAACCAAAAAAGAAAAAAATAGAAATGTGTTTTCATGCAATATGTAGTTAAATGATGGAGCTCCTTCTGCAGGCTGTTATGGATGCTAAATCTGTGTGTTGCCTTAAAAAGCAGATAAGCAAAATTGTGGAAGAAAACGTCAAAAAAGGACTTCTTTGAATGTAATTTCCAAGTGTCTGGTTGTGGGTCCAAGTGGTTTGGAATAAGCAGAAATACTTACTTCCTTGCTCTCTTCTCTGAACAAGTGACTTCCAACCCTTTCCCCGTTCACAGGATGAAGTTGTTAGGCTGATGCAAGATAGAAAACATTTTAATCTTGGAAATGTACTTGCAGTGATTCCTCACTCAGCAAGGAAATGTCAGAGATGTGCCAAACTCTCCTTTCCCTGTGAAATGCCAAAGATCTGATCATATCTTTAAAGCTATTACAACTTGAATATTCACCATTTCTATTAATTTTGGGTAGCTGATTTTGAGAAAGAGTTCTAATAGCTATGTGACTCCACAGTCAGTGTCTAAAGCATTGCTCAACACGCCCATGGTAGAAAGCTTTGTTTGGAGCACCTCAATGCAGGTAGTTTATTGGATTAGATTGTCAGATTTCTTAAAATGTTTGAGCCTCTGAATCCTACAGAGTGCTCATTAGATATTTAACAATTCAAAGACTATTATAAAAGAAACATGTTTCAAAGCAAAACTTGTTTCCAAGACTCAATTGAAGCAAAGGCTTTTATGAAATGACTCTAGAGTATGTTACAATGGTAACCTTAAAATAAAGGGGGAACGTTCAGAACACCCTAATCAGCTGTAATGGGAGTTCAAAATGTCCCCTCACAGATGGCAAAGTGGACGCTGGAAAACCTCATTCTGATTAATTTCTATTTTCTTCATGTTAGTGTTCTTACTGTGAATGGTGCTCTCCAAAGACGGATGGCATCAAAATAGCTTCTCTCATACAGCACAAAAACCTTGTTCATTTTGATTGATTCCTAGCTGAGAAAAAATTAAAAATGCAGTTCAGTTCCACATACCAAAACAACATTATATCATTGAGATAATCTCTATCATGCTCATTCTTTGAGGAAGACAGATGCAGAAAAATCTAACTGCAAAAATATTTATGTGATGATTTGTCATAGTGTTGACACCTAAATTTCCATATATAAATTATACATTAAACCTGTTCAGCTTCCTACTACAGGAGACCATTTTCTGGGTAATTAATTTTGTGATTTATAAAGAATAAGAGAAAGGAGAGCAGCAGAGTAACCTATAGATTATATTTACTCTGACAAAAGTATTCACAAATACACATGGAGTTAAGTTTCACAAAAGCCCATTTCCATTTTACCTTCTTAAATTGCCAATTTAAGGTATTGCTTAGGTTTGACTTCTGCCCACTGTTAGAAACTTTCTACTTCCTTCAGAACTGTACTAAAGAACTGATCTTCCTGATTTTTTTAGAGAGAACTATTGGAATTAGCTTTGCAAGTCAGGCATTAGGTTCTGCTGAAAATATATTTTGACTTCCATGAACTGATGTGGACCAGAGTTACAAAAGATAACTTCCATCTTTCAGGCATGCTGGTCATTAACTGTACAGAGACTTGCAACTGATTTCTACTGTACAGTTCCGTAATATGATAGTAAATGGTCTCATAATGGAGCTAGTTTCTTGTTAATAAAATAAAAGGTGAAAAAAGTCAACCAGAAATTATGGGTGTAAGATAGGAATTACTGTGCAATATTTTTGTCAATATGACTCAAAGGGTCACAGTAAGTGATTTCATTTTTTTTTTTTTCCCTAGAAGACATTTGGCATCAACACTTTTTTGGACCCTGAAGCTGCTTAGTTTTCATTTTCTGTTGATGTATAAGTGAATTTCCAAATGTTCCCCCCTTGCCACACAGCATAGAATACGGAGTATTTTTATTCTGTTTAAAATTAGTGGCTACCAGGAAGTTTAGAGCTACTGTAATTAAATCTTCTTTATTCCTTTGAGTCTGAGGGATTTGAGCAGTTTCCTCTGCAAGGTTTTGGTTTTGACTCTCTACTGAGAGACACAGGTTTTATGTTCGTGCTATTTTGTTGAAACCAAGAGCTACTCTGGCTTTATAGGGATCTTTGTAGCCTGACATATAGTGGAAGACAGAGGTAGGACTTTAATATCTCTAATGTTGTGCTGAGATTCTGCAATTTTCTAGTTGACAGAAAAATGTGTATGTTTGTGAATGACATAACATTTGTATAAAATATTTTTTTTTACTAATTTAATTGGAATTATCTTTATGGGACTAGCTTTCACATCCTTCTGTTTTCCTCAGAGTTTGAACAGCTACATATGAAAACTTTGCCCCACCTCTTTGGGGTAGGATAAGGTGAGATAGAACAAAAGGAATTAATGGCCACTCTTCTAGAGTGGCCCTGTAGAGCACTCTTCTAATTAAAAATGCTCCAAAAAGTGCTTGGGCTTGATCTGGAGTCTGGTACACCAATTGGTGCAATTCTCCATCAGTTCAAGAGCTTCTGTGCAGTGGTACATGTGAAGCCAGCAGCATAGCAAAAGGGGTGGATTTTTCAAAACAGGGCAGTGATTGTGAATCCAATTTTAATTTTCTATAGTTACTTGAGGATGAAGGGTTCTTGTGCAAGGTTTAAATGCTTTGTCTTACAGAAATCACATGGGCAGAGTTGGGGAGAAAATAAGTGGCATATGCAGGTCAGGTTGTCCTTCTGCTTGAGTTAAAATCAACAGCAGGTTTAGGGAATACTCGTTAGTGTGATCATTTTTTAGTTGTTGGGAAAGTAACTAGCAAAGGCCCAAAATCTACAGTGATTTTTATAGAAGCGCCGCTGAATGCAGATTGTCCATAAATGTCCTATTCAGTATTATGAAATTTGCTTCTTGGAAAACAAAACCAAGTCCAAACCATGAAATAAGATGCAAGTTCTTGAGAGTGTTTAGCAAGCCAAATAGTGTAACAGTCTATGTGTAATTAGTCATTCTTAATTTCTAAATAAATTAATACTAGTCACCTTCAGTAAATGCTAAATTGTGCCTGCTTTTCCATTTGGATTGTTTTCTTTCATATATCTTGAGAAAAGGTTAAAATTGAAATTTGTATCAGAATGAGTCAATATTAAGAAATTATTTCACTTTGGGGGTGAATGAAATGTTTTCAGATTATTCAACAGTTTTAATTTCTTTCCCTTTTTAAAAATGCAGATTGATGTCTAAAAGGAAGCAATATCTAAGCATCACTTCATAATGAAATATTTCCTTTACAAGATACTGAATGAACTGCTCCATGTTTTTGCTGTTTGTATCTAGCCTACGTTTGTACCTTGCCTAAAAATGTTAGTAGAATTTGAGTGTCATTTGGGTCATCCCAGAACTGCAGAGTTTAGTGAACTTATACAAGGTAAAAAAACATATTTTGTAGCTTTAATTAAATCATGGCTGCTGGCTTGTTCTGATACAGTTTCACAAGTGAGTTGAATTCTTGGAGGTCTGTCTCCAGTTCATTTACAAATTACTCCTGGGCAGATCTTTCAGGAACATATTTTCATTGTAATAAAACAGGTTGCCTTGTCTTATTGTGCTAAAATCACTAAGGGAAGTCTTCTCAAAATTTCAAGATTCCTTTGGGATTTGCTGAGAGTTGACTGACAGGCAGCTTTGCAATTTGCAAAGAAACATATTTATTTGATTAGGCAGGAGCCCTTTAACCAGAGTAGCTGAGTTGGGAGTAAGCGAAGGACCCTGCCAATTTGGATTTTGACTCTGAAGCAGTATCCAGAGCTGTCAGCATACCCAAAATGAGATCTCAAAAGCTATTGAGCATTAGGTAGCTGAAGGACAGCCATGTTGGAGGGAAGACAATGCTGGTCTGCTGCCGCCTGTTCTGACATTTATTCATTGTGAACTGCAGCTCATGTTGTCCAGGAAGGAACTATTTGTAAACACTCTTATTTACCTGTCCTCAGCAAGAGTAGCTGGGAGAAAATTAGGTAGGCTTATCACAGCATGGCTAGAAAATAATTTCTCTATCTAAATGGGTTTTGTGTTATAAAATGATTAGAGAATAGGTACTTGTAAGCAAGTATTTAAGATATCACAAGTGGGTGGTTGGAAAATACATCAGTGTCACATGTGAAGGCCAGTGAGTGGGCGTGTGTTTGGGGGGGGGGGGGGTGTCTGTCTGAAGGGTAAGTGGCTCTACATGCAGTGACACTTTTTCTATGTTTTTGAACTCAGAAATGTACTCCTCGTTCATACTAAGGCCTCTACACACCCTGGTAATGCTTAGCTATGATTTTATCTCCTACAGAGATGTGCTCCTGGCAGCGTTCACTGCCTCTTTCTTGGTATCATTGGATACGGGTCCAACCTG